GGTTTAGGGTTTGAATTTGGGGCTTAGGGTTGAAGGGGATTGGGGTTTAGGGAATTAGGATTTAGGATTGGGGATTGCAAGGATTTTACGGGTTTTTAGTAGTAGTGTCTTGCCTTTCAGTTCGTGTCTTCGGCGCTTCAATGCTCTGATCTGAGCACTCAGTGGCCTTGATTCCTGTAATGTTACAGACGGCTCATGTAGATTACCATAAAGGTAGCTGCAGTAGGTCGACGAAAGGGATGCCCCATAACATGGCCCAAGGCCCTTCTTTCCACATCAACCTAGGTCGGTTGAGGGCTTGGGGTTGCGGGTTTACATGGACCCCAAACACATGCAAACCAATAGCCTTTCATGCATCTCGGGCCATTATGTTACTTACTTTTGGGGGTTAGGTAGGGTTTACCCTGCTATATCAACATCAGTATCGAAGCCCTAAACCCGAAGGCGCTGCCCCAGCTTCACATTAGACCGAACATGCCAGAGAAGTTAGCGTTGGCTCGATTGGCAAATGTTGTGCCGAAGGCGGCCTCTGCAGCCTCATGTCGTTTTGTGTTTATATTATATATATATATATCTGTTTTTTTTCTGTGCACTTCCTTGAACTTTTTTTTGTGGGGACTTTGCTTCCCGTCCATTAACAATGCACCCTACTGCCTCGCTGTTTTTTATTACAACCGGGCCTGTTGTTGTGGCCTCTGGCCTCAAGCCCAAACCACAAAAAGCCAAGGACCTTCCGATAGCATTTTCTACGGATAAATTGTCCCTTAAACCCTAAACCCAAAACCCCCTTAAACCCTCAACCCTAAATCCTCAACCCTGCATGCCCTAGGTCCTAGACCCGACATAGGAAGTCAACAACTCTCAACCCTAACCCTGAGAGATCCTAGGGTTTAGGGTTTAGGGTTTAGGGGTTAGGGGTTAAAGATCCCTTTTAGTAACTTATAGATGGCATTCAGTTGAAGGGCCTCTTAGACCCGTAGCCAAAGGAAAAGAGATGCTTGTGGCCTCAAAGGCTTCTTAGCCAGCATCTCTAGACCCCAAGCCTTGTTAGCCTTGTTATTGATATTATTACTGTTCTTGTTGTTATTCTTACTAGTGCTATTATGATTGCGATTATCACTATTATTACTATAATTGTGAATACTGCTGTTCTTCTAAACCCTCAAGCCTTAAAAGCCCTAAACCCTGAGCCCATTACCCCCCCGAAGCCCTTCAACCCCACAGCATGTATGGGCCCAAAAAATCCCGAAGCGTCTTTTTGCCAGCGACTCCCAAACCCCTTAGGTTAAGGAAGATGCCTTATAGAATATAAGAGGAACCCTATTAATAAGGTTTAAGGAAAATTCCTTAATTGAGGGGTTTTTGGAGCCTCTGGGAAACCCCTAAACCCTAAACCCTTTCCGGGTTTTTGGAGTCTCTGGGTAGACAGGCTGGGAATCCTTTTAAGGAACCCTTAAAGGAACCCAAATCGAGGGGTTTTGGAGTCTCTGGGTAGCCCCTAAACCCTAAACCCCTAAACCCCTAAACCCTAAACCCCTAAACCCTAAACCCTAAACCCTAAAGGAACCCCTTAAAGGTACCCAAATCGAGGGGTTTTTGGAGAGTCTCTGGGGTAGCCAGGCTTCTTGGCCTACATCTTTCAGGCCGGCCTGCCGGGCTCAGTCTTTCGGGGCTTGGGGTTTGGGGTTTCGGGGTTTCGGATTTTAGGGTTTAGGGGTTTTAGGGTTTTAGGGTTTTAGGGTTTAGGGTTTACGCCGTTTGTGCTTCGCATTTAGGGTTTTTGCAGGGTTTAAGGCTTTCAAGGGTTCAGGCTTACATAGGGTTCGCGGTTTGTACGGCTTAGGGCTTACACAGGCTTTGGGGTTTACAGGGTTTAGGTTTCCAGGTTTAGTAAGGGCTAAGGTCTTAGGGGTTTAGAGGGCTTGGGGCGAATGTTTGCCGCTCTTTCTTTAGAGTTTAGGGCATGGGGCCTAGGTTTAGCGCTCGCGTGTTTTCTGTCTTCGGGTTCTGGGGTCAAGGTTGAGCTGCACGGTTGAGGGTTTAGGGTTTAGGGTTTTGGATGCGCTTGGGAGGCTTTTTGTTGAGGGTCTTGAGCGTGAGGTTTTTGGCTGAGGTGGGGTTTCAGGGTTTAGGCCCTTTAGGGTTTATAGGGTTTATAGTTTAAAACCCTAAACCCTAAACCTTATCTGAAAGCTTCCTGGGTTCTCTTTGCCCCTTTCCTTTCAACCGAGGCGGCTAGGGTTCTGAAGGGACCCCCCCGGGGCCCGGGGGCTGCAAGTGGATTTGCTAAACATGTCAAGAGTCGTCTACTCACCCTGCAAGGACGCTAAACCCTAAACCCTAAACCCGATCAGAAAGCTTCATGGGTTCTCTTAAACCCTAAACCCTGGACCCTCAATTAAATACCAGCCCCGGCTCTGAACCTTGAACTCGAACAAAGCCCCACGCAGCTTCGCCCACCTTCGTCCCTCGATACTGAATGAAGCCTGTGATCAGACTGGCCTTTGACAGTTTAGGGCTGAAAGTTTAGGGTTTAGGGACGTGTTTTACCGTTGTTTCGCACTCCGGCACTCGCGACCCTAGGTGCTTCCAGAACCCACTACACCCGCAGAATCGTGCAGAAGTTGTTGAGTCCTTCTATGCTCGTTAGGCGTCGACCTCAAGCAAGTGAAACCCCCATGTAAACCCTAAACCCCAAATCCTAAACTTTAGGATTTAGGGTTTAAGGCTTGGGGTTTAGAATCCTAAACCCTATAAGCCCCCATTAAGTGCTCAGATCGTTTGGCGATACCCTGCTCTGGTGAACCGCGGGCGTGGCTTGAAGCTGCTTACGCAGCACCCTGGCAGAAGCCACGGTTTAGGGTTTAGGGTTGAGGATATAGAAGTCTGACGCAGTCTGAAAACAGCCAAGTCGTTGGATGTTGTTCGTTGCATTGCTTGTGTCTGTTAAATTAACCACAGCTCAGGGACCTTTTTTAAATTTTGGAAACAAATCCTATCTGACGGCCAAGGTATCTGAAACCCTAACCCTACACCAGGGCGGGGCTTAGGGATAACTGCCTCTGTTGCATGGAGGATTTGAGGTCTCAGGTTTTGGGGTGCTCCTATTCCATCCCTGAGCCATAAATAGTAAACCCTAACCCTCAACCCCTAAACCCCCACCTCTAAACCCCTAAACCCTAAACCTTAAACCCCTAAATCCCCTAAGCCCTAAACCCTAATCCCTCACTGTTCTAAGTCCCCTACATGAGCGGCCTGATTACACCTCGGTTTGAGTCTCTCAGCCCACAGCAGAACCCTACAGTGCTGCTACGCTAGACCGGGGAATTGGGGCAGGCTTCACGGGTCAGGAAACCCAGAGACTCCCAAACCCCTTCATTAAGGAACATACCTTAAGTCTTATTAGCGTTCCGATTATGATTTAAGGTACATTCCTTAAGTATGGGGTTTTGGAGTCTCTGGGTATCTGTAATAAGAATATAGGGGCTGAAAAAAAATGACCAATCGATCTTGGGGTATCTTATGAGAAGTAAAGTATCATATAGCCCCAAACTGGGGTTCAAGTTTAGGGCTTTAGGGTTTTAGGGCTTTAGGGGTTTAGGGTTTGTTGAGGGTTTTAGGGAATATGCGGGATCCAAAGCTACATATCGGGCTAGAGCATACTCAGCAACCGCGTCTGTATCGCGTAGGTTCCGTAACGGTTTGAATATCGTGGTAGCTCCGTCCCTTTGGGTTCCTCAATCTATTTACCATGTAAGTCCCTGCCCAAACGAAATTATCAGGGTTTAGGGCTTAGGGTTTAGAGTCTAGGGTTTTAGGGTTCTAGGCATTCTAGGGTTTAGGGTTTAAGGCTTAGGGTCTAGCGTTTAGGGTTGAGGGCTTCAGAGCTTCAGGCTCCTATATGTGAAGCAGGTACCGGTTCCTCTTCCAACGCTTCGGCAACCACGCCTACTATTGGGGCCACACGGCTGATATGTGTCAGGGTGGAGACGCTAGGGCTTGGCGTTTAGGCGGTTTAAGGGTTTAAGGGTTTAGGGTTTTAGGGTTTTAGGGTTTAGGGTTGTTGGGTTACTAAGGGTTTAGGGTTGTTGGGTCGGGAATTGAGAACTGGAAATCTCATTTCCATAGATCTAAACGACTCGACTTCGTCATAGTAGCCAACAATACAAAGCGACCTGCGTCCCAAGCGCCAGATCCATAACTCGCTGCTTGCTACGGAGTTTAGGGTTCAACGTTCCCTAAGCCTTTAACCCTAGATGCCAGCTACCCAAGAAGCCTGTGACCCATTCGGAGTCATGAAGGTTGAATCAATGAAAAAACTTGGCCGTATACAGGGGCTAAAGACAGCTGTTGCTCTAAAGGTAGCTGTGCGTGAAGGTCTCTATAGATCGGTCTCATGCGCACAAGCACCATGCATGCTTTCGTGCCATGATGCGCCATGGCGATATATACCTATAGATAGATAGATAGATAGATAGATAGACAGATAGATAGATAGGTAGATAGATAGATAGTTAGATCGATAGATAGATAGAGGGTTAAAGATAGGAAGGTAGATCGATAGAGAGAGATAGTATGGGAGAACCGTCGATCGAGTCTCTATATGCTTTGCAATCATGCCAACGCACGCACATGTAAGTGCGTGCATTCCTGCCCTTCATGCATGCATGCATGCACGCATGCATACACATGACCTACGCACAGGCCCAACATGTTGTCCTGCATCCACAAGCATACATGCATACATACATTAATTACATTCATTCATTCGTTCATTCATTCATATCTCCCTACAGGTGTAGGGAAGAGTGGCTTGAATTCCCGTCTTCTCGGCTCGAGCTGGGGCAATTTCCTGCATCGCAATAGCACCTTCACCAGGTAAGACTCAGGAAGAAAGCATGGCCCGCTCCGTGATGTTGACCGCCGCAGTGCTGCTGTGCTCGGGTGCTCTTTTCAGTGCCTTGGTGCAAAGCAACTACCCTAAGGTCCGAAACTCTGGTGAAACTGAAGCTCGAAAGCGTATGATAGTACATTGTAGCATGTCTTAGGTATAGCTAGAGTACAATATTAGTTACTATGCTATAGTATATTATTTGGGGTGGGTCCTTCCAGGTGCCTTCGTGCCAGCTGCGCGTCCAGTCACATCGACGCCGACTGTGTCAGGAACGACCGTCGCCGTGAGCACGGCCCTGCTTGCCCCGCAGGACCTTCGTGCTTATGGTTTGTGGTTTGGGGTTCGTGTCTAGGGCCGATTTACCGTTCCCGGTTTTGGGGCTTTGGGCGGGGTAAGGGTTTATTCTAGGGTTTAAGGGTGTCTGAATGCTGCACCAGCAGATGCTACAGGGAAGCCAGCCTATGAAGTAGGGTTCAGCTGGTTGATTTTCCTTGCGAATGTGTTTCATGTATTGCTCAGTGGTGCGTACGTATGCTTTACTTTACAAAGAGAGAAGTCGGCGTGGCAAGGTAGAATCTTATCATATTATCTCTACCCATACGCTCCATAGTAGTTCCTTTTTCGGATTACCTTATAGAATCCTAAATATAAACCCCCAAAAGGAACTACTATGGAGCATATGGGTAACCCCGAAGCCAAGCTGCCTCCCCAAATTTGAAAACTAAAACGCAGATGCTTAGTCAGTCCGAGCTCCTCAACTGTCCTAAGTCCTAACCCAAAGCGTCCATGCACCTAAGTAGTATATACTTTTGCCTTAAAGTAGTCCCTGTTTGAGTACTTTGGGGCCAAAGTATCTACTGTTTGGGTAAATGGACCCTTAGGATAACTACAAACGTTAAGCCGTATCTTCACCTTCAGACTAAGCCTTATCAAGCCCTTTGGGTGCTATTTTGAGCCTGAGGGCCAGGGCTTGGTGTTTAGGGTTTAGGGTCTAGTGCTAATTAGCACGAGCTGCCTGATCCCAAACCCTTGATTTCTCCTGCTACCTACGATCCACATACCTAAATCCGAAACAGACAAGCTAACCCCTCAGCCACCCGTAAAACTAAGCACTACCCTACAGCGGCCTAAGTCAGTAAGTCGACTGGGTGTTCGACACCATAACCCTAAAGCCTAAACCCTAGACCCTAGACCCTAAACCCTAGACCCTAAACCCGAGACCCTAAACCCTGAACCCTAGACCGTGGGGCATTGTAACCGTATGCCCGAAGATGCCTGAAGCCTAAAACCTGGAAACCCTCCACCTGGAAGCCTTGAGCGCTTTCTAGATCCTTTTTACAGAAGTCCTTCTACCTTAAGGACCAAATGGCCCTTGAAACTGCGGGTCCTACACCCTTGTACTACTGTTGATGATAAAATCCTGCATTGCCCATAATAAGGAATGTACCATAATTCCCATAGTTTAGGGTCCTTAAGTGCAAGATTTATATCATCAACCGTATGAATCCCTATATGGTATATGAACATTAAGCCCTTTTGGGCTTCATTTCGTCTGTAAGGCAGATCCCAAGTTATATAGAAAGAACCCTTATCCATCGGCTCCAAAGTAGTTCCTTTTGTGGCTTTATACTTAGGACTTAGGATCCTACCAGGTAATCCCAAAAAGGAACTACTATGGAGCCTTTGGGTATCTATCTCTATAAAGGAACCTGTGTCGCCCAAAAGGCCGCAGGAGATTCCCGAACAGGAGCTTGTACAGATCCCTCTAAAGGAGCCCTTTTGGATCCCCTTCACCCCTAAACCCTAAACCCAAAGCCCCTAAAGCCCCCTAAAGGCCGCATTCGCGGATGAGGGAGCGGTGTGGATTCCTGCACTCTCCGCCATCGGTGCTGGATTTGCCATCGGCTTGGCCGTCGCTGGGCTTTCCATATAAAAAGGTTTAGGCTTTGGGGTTAAGGGAGCTGTGACTGCGCTTTAAGGGGTTTCGGGTCTAGGAGTTATACTTGGTTTGAGTTTTGGATTGAGGGCCGTGCAGTTGCGGTTGTAGGGTCCATACTTGTGGTTGTAGGATTGGGTTTAGGCTTCCAGACCTTCCTTGAGTTTTGGACCCGCCAGATCCACAGACGATGCCAGCCATGAACCTCGGATACGATTACAGCGATTTGGGATACCTCTCATTTTACCTGGAAAGAGCACCACGAAAGACAGGGCTCGATGATTTCGGAGAGTAATACATGAGAACCTGCAGGCCCTATACATTTCTGATACCCCAAATGCTTCTCACTGCACCCTCATGAGCAGATGTCGTTGTGCGTTCTTTCTTCCTGCCCTTAAGGTTGCCGTCCTGATAAGCAGTGGTCGGTAAGGGGTCTGGTCATGAAGCGCCATGGGCAAACCGTACCGGGGAGATCCAACATCCTAGCATCTGAAGGATTCTACCCTATAACGTGGGATCATTACCTACTCAGTCTCCCGCAGGCCAAACCTCAAAGTACCTAAAAATAGGTCTACATCAAGGCCAACGTATATACTATATGAGACCAACTCAACAAACCTCGCAACCCCCTCCAAAACCGAAACGCTAAAACGCCCTAAGCGCCCAAAAGCCCTAAACCTCTAAACCCTAAACCCCTCTGAACTCGCCATCTCAGGCGATCGGTTCGGGAGTTGGTCAGGGCATTGCATCCGGACGCTGCATTGACGGCATCTCCCGCCAGCCAGAGGCTGGGGAGTGTTAGAAGCAGGAGCCCTTTAAGGGCTCCTTTACGGGTTAATGTAGAGAGGGGTTTAGAGTGCTCAGCATATAGGAGGCTGGAGTGGTGGAGTTTAGGGTTCGGCTGTAGGGGGAACTAGCGTAGGGTTTAGAGTTTAGGATTGCCAGCCGTTGCTTTCAACATACTTTTTTCTCGTGGTTTGTAGGGGTGAGTAGGGTTTTGCCACAGAGTTTAGTATTTCGGCCTGCATGGTTAGAGCACGGTGTTGAGAAGTATTTTACTATGCTTCTACTTGTTAGGAAAACCAAGCCGTAAGCGACCATACTGCCAGATAATTAATTATTCAGGCCCTATATTTGCGGCTTATCATCCGGCCATTATGTGGTTGGGATGACTGGGAGCCTATTTATAAATATGTATATGTATATATATATATATACATACACACACCCTAAACCCTTTAAACTCTAAACCTTGGCTTTGGGGGGCAGTACCCAAGGTTAAAGGATTAAGCTCTCACCGCTGGAGACCTAAACCTCACGTAACCTTATTCCGGTGAGGGTTCGAGGACCCAATAATCGGGTAACGGTTTAGGGTTTAGGGTTCTATATTAGGATCACTATTGAGGGCTCTTAGATGTCTGTATCAAGTTATACATCGTATTCAACTGTTACTGAGTGGGGCATATCCAACGTGAACCCCTTAAACCCCTGCCGTAAGGCTCCTAAGGGTGGCTTGAGCTTTCTAGGGGAGGGTTTCGGCTGTGGCTAGGAATTTGGGATATCACTGCTAGGGTGCAGGAGCCTCGTGGTAAGCCCTAACCCTGAACCCTAAAACCCTACACCCCAAACCCTAAACCCTGAAGCCCTATAAACCCTAAACCACAAAAACTAAACCCAACACCCCCGCTAGATTTTTCCTGTAGCTGTGCCCTAAACCCCGACCCTACGGCGAGGCTTGGACCTAGGGTTTAGGGTTCAGAGTTTAGGGTACAGTACAGGGTTTAGGGTTTAGGGCTCATGGTTTAGGGTTCAGGGTTTAGGGCTTAGGGCTTAACAACATTATTCCAGAGGTTTCCTGAATCAAATTGTAGCAGCATATGCCCCAAAGCCTTATTCGAGTTTTTGTTAAGTTCAGGCGGCGGGTGGAGGGTTTAGGGTTTGGGGTTGTGCATACCAGGAGATAACAGGAAACACAAGGCATGATATAGATTCTGGAGATGTGTTTTGTTCTTTTCCCGGAGAAAGCAGTGAGGGATTTACATTGATATTTGGCCTCTGGTTCTGGCACCATCCTAAGACCATGTAAAACCCGATGCGCCCGATAAAACCTTTACGACACTTCCTGTCCTTTGTAATGCCCTATAGACTTTGTAGACGCTAAACCCTAAACCCCTAACACCTATAAACCCTAAGCTCAAAAGACCCCTTCTGCGATCATGGGTGTGATGTCGGCCACTTTCTGCTGCCCTCACTTGTTGAAGGTGGCCGATGACTTGCGCGGTGTGCTGCTGCTGTCCCTGGCCTTCATGGCACCTTTGCAGCAAGAAGGCATTTGGTTCAGTCTTCTTGGTTGCCGAGTTTGGGGTCTAGTAGCTAAGATGCAGGGAAAGCTGGCAGGACGTGTTGCTAAACCCTAAACCCAAAACCCCAAAACCCTAAACCCTCTGTCTTTCAAAGTTCCAGGAGTCCTTGACCATCTACGGCTTGGTCATTGCCCTGGTGCTTCTCTTCGCCAACCCACTGATCAAGTGATTGGCTTGCTGCTTTGCAGCCGGACAAAGCCCGGCAATAACTGCCGGTCTGCGAATTGTTGGCCCAGGTCTCGTGTTTCAAGTTGTCAAAACTGAAGTTTGGGGCCAGCAGCCCCCAACCACTATGCCCTCAGCCCTAAACCCTCATACTAACATAATCCTTTTTATCATAAACACTACTAGGACCTTTCGAGAACCTTGGGCAAGCTACTTTTCGGTCGGTATAAGGGCGAGAGGGATGCCTCGAAGCTCTCTCTGCCCATGGAGTTCTCCCATTCTGCGGAAAAGAGGCTTCTCTGGTGTGTGGGTGCTTTTAGGTTTGGTGAGACGTTGGGCGCTTTGGGGTGTTTTGGGATTAGGGCGATTAGGGTTTAGTGTTTCGGGGATTTCGGTTTAGGGTTTAGGATTTTCGGGTTTGGGGTTTTAGGGTTCACGCCTTCAGGGAGGTATTGGAGTTTGGGGTTTGGGGTTTGAGTAAGACTTTTTAGGTTCGGAGCCCGGAAACCCCGTGCGCAAAAGTAATTTGACCCCTTTCTAGTTTAAGCGCAGGGTTTCGGGTTTAGATTTCCGGACTTCTGAACCTTCCTCCGGGCTCTACTAAGGCCCAACCTCAACCCCGAAGAATCCACCCCACATAAATGTAGAGCTTAACATGTTAGGGTTTAGGGTTTCGGGTTAAGGGGAGAACATCAATCGGAACGGAACCCGAAAACTGCAGGGTCTTCAGGTAAGCGCCCGTCTTGGTTGATCGAATTTGGAACTGGAGCTAGCTGGAGCCATGCAGTGGGTCAGCATAACTCGCCCTAGAGGTCTAAGCATGTCTATCATGGGACTTAATAAGTAAGGTGATACGTACCTTGTATGTGGTTATAAGTCCCTGTCAGTACAGTTACATATTTCTACCACCAATGATAGTTTACGTAGGCCATATACATAACATATCACAACGGTACATGGGGTCGAGGGGAGCAGCTGTTTTGTCGTAAGGCCCTGACAGCTCCTCGCCACCTTGTTCCTGTCGTCAGATGAGGGCTACAACTCAACCAACCACAGACGGATGCATGAACCCTAGGAGTCCATGCGCTCACATAGTACGTATATACAGATATAGAAATTTATAGATGTAGATATAATTACTTTGGCCTTCATGTAGGCCCTAATAGGTCAATCAGGGCCCAAGTGCATACCATTGGGGCACATGAACCCTTAAACCCTAAACCCAATTGGTACCCTTTGTAAGATAGAGCCCCGTCATGCCCTTAAGGGGACCCTTTAACCTTACTATTTGGGTACCTGGACCCTTCGGGAAAGCTCTTGAGCTACCAGGACCGCAGGCCCAAGCCTCAACCCACATACACAACGAAGCTTTTCTGAAGAGCGAAGCTGCAAGTTAGAACTTCAAGGGTTTAGGGTTAGAGCTTTAGGGTTTAGGGGTTAGGGGTTTGGGCCGTTAGAGTAGATCTGACAAGGAAGGGCCCTAAACCCTAAACTGTGCACCCTAACCCTTACAGATGCTTCTCTTTGAACATATGCAGTCCTAGAGGTCTCATAGCCCGTGACCTTATCAAGGTAATATAGGGGCCTCAATAACTACCTATACTATTTTGGAGGTTTCCCATTAAAATATAGATACCCCGAAACCTTTTTCTAATTGTTAAGGCTCCTACATTACCGCCCAATTAGCTAAGGATTTCTTTTGCTATGGTTTCAATATTCCCTAGGGTTTATGGGGTTTAAGGCTTAAGGTTTAGGGTTTAGGGTATGGTTTGTGGGCATTTCGGGTTCAATTTAGTGAAGGGTAGTCAGGAGGTCTAGGGGATGTTGAAAGATTCGACGTTGTCGGGTGAAGATGCCGCTAGGGTTCTCTATCGCCACCATGTAACTTATTACATGGCTGGAGCCTCCTTAAATCTGAATCCTGCACCCCAAAACCCTGAACCGGACCACACCTTCCGCCTCAAAAAGAAGCGCCGATACACCGCAGGGTAACCTCCAAAGCGGCATATCCCCAAGGGTACATCTACCCTCGTCGTCCACACTTTACCCTGAAAGTAGTAACTTTCTCGGAGAGGCCGTGAGGCTTCACTCTCTCTACATTTTTGGCACATGGACTTTTTCAAAACTTATAGTAAACTTAGTAAACCCTATAGAACCCTGCACAGAACCCTTAAAGGAACTCCTAAAGAAAGCTACATTAATTACCATATGGGTCTGTCAACTTTTGGGTGGTTCCGTTTGTATTCTTGAGGGAAGTATATCCCGAAACGGTTCTAAGCGGGATCATGTACCCAGCGTTTGGGCGAGTTCATGATCCCAGCGTTTTGGGCTGTTCGGTGAAGCAATAGAAATCCACCACCGTCAGTCAAAGAAACTCAATGATATGAGACAAGACTTTTACAACATCAAGCAATATTGAAGATTTCACTTGCGTCTTCTATGGATGATAAAGGATTTGATGGTGTCCAATATGTTCTTCAAATTTCCACCGTAAGTATGCATTTTGTATGTAGCATCCGCTTGCCACTTAAATCATAGAAGATTAGGGTTATGTAGCATGCGTTTCATCATTTGCTTTGTTCACAGCATGTAATTGAAAATTTGTCGTTTGGTACTTAACTAGCATTCCGTATAGGGTTACATATGTTGATGCTGTTTCGTGGGCACTATCTAGTGAGCATTTGATCAAAGATGCAGTCAGTTCTGACCCAACATTACACTAGTATGTACCTACAGATCAGTAATACACTGTTGGTATAGTAACTTCAGATGTAAAAAACATTCCCTGAACTAATCGTCTGATACTTGTTCATTCTTCAATGTCGAATTACCATTATGAGAGATGCCTAGCAACTATTAATGCCATTTGGCAGTTGATACTCATGAATTATTCAATGTCTCATTAGTATGTATGTATATACAAAGCGTTATTGATATTAAGGGCAACATGTAGAAGATAGCTCACCGCAAGTAAACGAAAATATCAGTAGTTGATAGACACCACCGGGCATGCTTTGCATTGTTCAATATCGAGTACCATTGTGAGAGATGCTCAGTAACTATTCATTTCGCGAATTACTCAGCCAATATCTCATGAGTAGATACCGAAACGTGTTGTTAGTATGAGTGCAACATTTAGTAGATAAATCACCACAAGTGAAGGGTACTATCAGTTTTTGACAGATACCGAGCATGCGAGCATGTAAGCAGTCTTTAATGATACGTTAGCGGAACTTCGGGTTACTGCTTAAGTCAAGCTAGTTAGAATTTCAGTCAGACTGAACCGAATATGTGTTTCCCTGCTCTGGGTGATTCGTTTATATTCGAATCAGTTGAGCTTATCATATTTGGATCATGTAGTTGGCATGCTGTGACGTCGTATTTAATGATTACTGTAATCGCATTCTATTGTTATTTCCTTAGTGATTGGCACGTTGTGAATAGCTAGCCGACTGAGTTGGTAGTTAGCTGCTATCTGCTCAGATTGTATTTGCCTGTTTTGACAGAGCATAAATTTACGAGATTACAACAACGCAGGAATTATTTCAATAAAAGTTCCTTCAACACAAAGCTGGTTATTAAATGTTGCGAAAGCTGAATGTTAACAAGTCTATTGCAAATCCTATTTGCGTGCTAGATAACGGCTGGTCATCGGATGCAAAGTGGGCAGTTTACCATAGTTTTTCTGTGTTTGGTGTTTTAGTTTTGATTCTGATTCCCGATCCCCCTGGACCACACACACACATATATATATATATAAATCTCATATAATGCAGAAAGTGCTTGTTGAGGACCGTACCTGGCAGTCAGAAAAGGCCAAAACACTGGGTACGCGATCCCGTCTAAAACTACCGAAACATACCCCCAAAAAAGCGGGGTAGGCGATCCCGCTTAACGCTCCCGAAACATACCCCTTAAACATACCCCTGTGAAAGATGAGTATCATCCCAATCGTCGAACACGCTATTACCGTACATAGGCACATGAACCCTTAGGGTAGTTTGTCCATCGCGGGCAAGGAGGTTTTATGGGCAATCCTTGCCCTCTAACATGGAATCGCAAGCTGGACATGCAACAACCTACTGCTTTACTGGCTATACCCTAATAATCGCTGAGCGGTTAGAGCCCACAAGTATGTGGGTTTGCGGCTACAGGAAAACCTCAATTCAGCCCAAAGGAGCAGGTACAAAGACAAGCCCCCCCAAAAAAATTCCAACATCCCAAAGCCCTCCCAATTCTAAACTAAAACCCTACACCCAAACCCTAAACCCTAAACCCCTAAACCCTAAACCCCTACACCCAAAGCCTCACCCCAGGTCCTTACTTCATCCTCCAGAAGCTGATGGTGGCCCTGGTTCCGATTCTCTTCGCCAATGTGGCTGCCGTGCAGATTGTTCTGCTCTCGCTCATGACGGCACCCTGACTGTTTAGGGTTTAGGGTTTAGCTTTTAGCGTTTAGGGTTTAGGGTTTAGGGCTTTAGACTGTAAGATGTGTCTGTTTGCGCTTGGAGACACACAGGTACATACGCAAGAATACTGAAATTCAATAGTTAGTTAGTCATGTATATATATATGTATGCATACATATTCACGTATGTATGTGTGTACATGTGCGTGGATGTGTGCGTGTGTGGGATGGAGTGATTCTGTCGTAGCTTGTAATTCACCATTAAAACCCTAAACCCTAAACCCTAAAACCCTAAACCCTAAACCCTAAACACCATAGGGGTTGGGTCTTCGGGTCTTTACGCTTCTGTTCGCGTGGGTTTTGCGGTCTAGTTATGCATTGGAGTTTAGCAGTCTTGCTTACCCATATATAGGCTCCATAGTCGTTCCTTTTTGGGGATTACTTTGTAAGCTCCTGAACATAAACCACAAAAAGGAACTACTTTGGAGCCTAGGCATATCCGGATATGTACCTTCATTCACAAAGCCATGTGTGGACGGTGTAACAACTCGTCCACAACGTGTGAAGCTGCTGAACGTCTGTGAGTTCCAAAAATATAAGAACGCTTGTGAGATCACAAAACTCAACAGCATAATTGCACTGCGCATCTTGAGCGACTCATTCAGCCGTGAGTGCTGAGTAGCCGATAGTAGGTCTTTGGGTTGCCAGAGCAGTTCAGAGTAGAGGGGATGCAGCCGCTGGTTCATCGATCTCTCCTTTAATAGGCATGTGCATAGACTTCCTTACATGAAGGCCCCTCCGTTGCCCAGATATCCGGATCTTTGTTAGAGTTCGGAACTAACCCGGACTATGTGAGAGGGGCTTTGTTGATGATTTGGGGCCTAAGGCATAGTCAGCTGTTTGAGCCGTCAGGGCCTCATGCCCCGAAGGTTGTCTACCTTGTGGCCGCCACCCGCGTGTTCCCTTGGGCGACGGATTTGGCGAACAGTGCAGCAGCTCTTCGGAAGATGGCTTGAGATCCATTAGAGCTCCAACCTCCTTAAGGATAAGTCCTGGAGCTGCCCCTCCGTTGTAGACAGCAGTGCCGAGGCACGCGGTTGCTGCGGTCTTAGCCATCTCCAACCCCGATCCTATACAAGCCCTAAACCCTGAACCCTAAGGATCAGGATCCAACCCTGATCCTGGAACCCCGGCCCAAAGCCCGAAATCCCCCCTAATCCCTTCCTCTGCTTTCCAAGACGATAATGATAAGGATTTGTTTTTGAACACGGGCCTCACCTTCTTCCTTATCATCTCGTCCTTCTTTGTGGATGCCAGCGGCAGTGACACACGGCGCCTTGGGTTTATGACTTTGTACATTTTTCTTTGTGCTTAGGACGGCGCTTCAGCCCACCGTGAAGGCACATAGACGTGTACAGGGCCATGTGTTTTATGACGAGCTGGAAAGTTTCCGAAAGCTCATAGAGGATGCTAAGCATAGGCAAAAGCTTCAATATTCATCCTCCCCTGCGGACCACACTGTGCCTCTGCCCGATGACTCATAAGCAGAGTGTTCGTGACACCGGCTTGAGGGGGAACGGTATCGGTATCGTTATTCGTGAACCCTAATCCAACTTAAATCTTCCAACCCCTGGACCGCAAGCCCCCAAACCACCAACCCGAATACCTTAACCCTAAACCCTAAACTCGTGTTTTACCCTTTAAAACCCTTTAAACCCTATAAACCCTAGAAACCCTATAAACCCTGTAAACCCCAAACCCTTCCCCCCAAAGCCTGCAAAGATCCAACCGGCGCAACAGCACAGACCCCAACAAAAAAAAACGTCCTTAGGGTTTATATCAAAAGCCGCACTCATGAATCCCGCACCTTGACGAAGACACCGCAGACCAAACCACAACGCTAAACCCTAGACCCTAAACCCGAAACCCGCAGCAAAGAGCCCAGGGCCTTCCTGAGTGGAATGCTCATGGCACTGATCGGGCTGATCTCCTTCGGCCTCCAGGATCCCTCTGTTGTTTGTTGTTTCTTAGGATTTAGGGT